AGATCTATCTGTGTGACTATGGCTTCAAAGGTTTGTGACACCATGTTTTCAGTTTTTGGTAAATGATCACTTGATATAATTAACACCAATGCATCAGCCGCTAAAATTATGACATGGAAGCAATCACATAAGACAACTGAATGTTACAATAATCTTCACAAACCTCTGGAAGGGGAGGATTAGAGCATAATAGCACGTATTCTCAAAAAAGTTTGGTCAAGAGTAGACCCCTTCATCGAACAAATGGCATTTGCTATCACAATTTGCCAATCTGTTCTAAATCTGCATAACGAAATAATTACTATAAATGAAGTGGTTCTAAAAGTAAAAATTAAGAAATATAAGGTAAGCTTTGAAGGTCTTCAAAGGTCTTTGGAAACATAAAACATTTACTAATATATATTTTTAGGAAAAAATTATAAGAGGAATCAGATTCACGGAGGAGATTTTAGTGATGAAGACGAATCCGATGATGAACCAATGAGTGATAATAGTAAAATAGAAGTTTTAAAACCTTCAAAGGTAACTGAAAATAATAAAAATGATCAGGCATTAAATGATGAAAATTTATCATTGAAGAAAAATTCTTCGGCAATGAGCTTAACAAAAAAATAAATATATAATGCGAAATAAATTTAATAAATAATCTTTAAATATAAATAAATATTTGCAATACAATTTTTAATATTTATATATAATTTAATGTAAATGTATTTTATTATATTTAAAAATCTTCGAAAATCTTTGGAAATTATATTCAAATTTTTTAATATAATCTCCAGAGATGTTCGAAAAATTTTTCAATCATATCTAAAAATTATATATATAATTTTTACTCTGAAGACTTTTAACAATACCGGAAGTTTTCTGCAAATCCCTCAGATCCTTAGAAATTTCTTTTTTAGGTAATACATCCAAGGAAAGAGACAACATACACAACTCAAGACATATAATTCACAATACCAACATATAAGAGACATCTTAGCACAGAACAACACTTCATGTATAGTTTTAGTCTGGTAATCACTGAGAAAACACAATATATATCAACAATTTTGACCTTTTTCTCTTTTCTAAGAAGAAGAAAATAAGCTTGATTCTCAGTCAAAAAAGGGGAGCCAATATCAACTTCACAGAGCTTGCAGCCAGGTCAGTGTAGGTTGACACCTTTCTTGACATTACAAGGAATCTCAAAGCAAATAGATTTGCTCGATAAATCAAGTAAATCTCAAATTTCTCAAGACTTAGAAGGACATCAAAGCTCCCCAAGATCTAAACAGCCTAATATGTATATCCCATTGCCACACATATCAAAATACCTCACCAAAGTAGCGTGAATACGTAGCACCTTTGTTATCAATAAAAAAAAAGTCTTTAAAGAGAGAAAAATCAACTGTATAGTATTTAAAGATTTTTTTAATTTTTTAAATAAATTAATATAAAAATTCTATATAATAAAAAACCTATTTTCTTTTTTTTTTTTAACTATAGTTTATCTTTTTACAATTTTTATTTTTAAGGTTTTCTGAAAATTTTATTTATTTTAATTTAATATTAAATTTTAAATAATACAATTCTTATTAAAAGTAATAAAATATATTAATTTTTAAAAATATAAATAAATAAGTTTTTATTGATTATATTTATATAATTTAATGATATTAGTAATGCTTAAAAAAGATTGTATATATAATATATAATCTATAATTGTTTAATAAAGTGCACTTAATTAGTTTGAAAAAGGATAAAAAAAAACTAAAATAAAAATAAAAAAAATTGCAAATATTAATAATTTGATTAAATTGATTATTCTAAAATAATAATAATAATAATAATAATAATAATAAAATAAATATTTTTAAAGTATAATTAAATATAAGTAAAATTGATTATATAATTTATAAATATCAAAAAAAATAAAATAATTAAATAAAAAAACAATCAAGTTAGTAAAAATGATTTATAAACTAGTTAAACATTCTTAGATTCTATATAAAATTAATGAAAAAATATTTAATAAAAGAAATAGTAGATTAGTAATATCATAAAAAGTGAATTAAAAATCTGCAGTAGTGATTTGCAAGCAATAAAGTTAGCAGTTGAAAGGATTTTTACCTGAACTACTAATGGAGCAATAAATCATTTTTGAAGTTGCACTTAGAGTTTTGATAAAATTCAAAATAGTAATGAGTGAGTTAGGTAGAGATTAGCTTTAGTGACACATTTTTAATGTAAAATATATAAAATGCTTAATAAAGTACACATACCTAATCTGACAGAGGACTTAAAAAAATAAATAAAAATAAAAAGTGAATTAAAAAAAAAAAAAAACAGGAAAATATTTAATAAAGATTCAAAAAAAATATGCAATTAAATCTAAAAAAAAATTTGAAATTCAAGATATAGAAAAATAATTGAGTGGAAATAAGCATAGGAAATCTATAAAAAGGACAAAATAAGAAGATTATCAAAAACTTGATACTATAATAATTAAAGTAATAATGTTAAAAAAGAAAAGATTAAAAAATGAGAACTTAAAGAAGATCTTAGTAAAAGAGATAAAATATAAAGTAAAGTGATAAGTTTTGATTTTTGTTGGAACTTATAAAATAATCTGCCGTAATGACTTACAAATAAACAATAATATTAAAAGTTAAAAGGATTTTTATTTGAACTTCTAATGGAATGATAAATCATTTCTGAAGTTGCACTTAGAATTAGTTAACTAAAACAAGTGTATTAATTAATGTTTTAGCTTTAGCGATACACATTATATGTATAATTTATAAATTAAAAATAAATAAAAATAAACTAAAATTGATCATTGATTATTAATAAGTTTTTTTTTTAAAAAAACTAACATTTAACTTTATTTCTGTAACAAAATGTTTTTAAGTCTAATGTTATTTAAAATGATAGTTACTGAAATTGAAAATGATCAATTATAGTATCTGCAGTATCAAATGTAATAAACGAATAAAATGTTGTAAATTACTGTATGTACTGTATGTACAAAATTAAAATATTCACATTTAAATTAAACATCACCACTACTGTATAATAAATTATTGAGCATTAAAAGGAGAAGCTAAACATCGAGATATTACTTAAACACTCTATGTATTTATTTATAAACAATAGAAACTCGTATTTAAATATTTGACAGTTCAGAAAAACAAATCCGTGACACGAAATAAACTAACAATCTGACCAATCAATGTTCCTTTTTTTTTTTTTTTTCAAAATGAGATCAAAGAGAAATTGTCATAAACCCTAATAACACCTAATCCTGAGGTGTCCCCCATTTGAAATCAACAGGCGATCAAACCAAATATTGGGGGCGACCTTCCAATATTTGAGTTCAAAGAGTTCGCCTTTGAGTGTTTTGATGCAGTATATTTTTTTGTTGTCATAAAAGATTTTCTCCCCTTCCTTCTCCCCTAATAAGTCTATATTGTGTTCCATGAATACTACGCGTGTGTTATTATATCTTATCTCAAATATGAATGAGAGATATTTTGAAAAGTCAAACTTTGTTTGGATAGGGGTTTCGCATCGGACTGAGTGGGAATTTGATCGCAAAATGTTGGTTTGTGACAATGGTGGTGAATTTAAGCTCGTGAAACAAATCAAATTAGTGGTCGCGTCGTACGTGGGAGTGACCAAACCGCATGCTTGTTTTTTATACGATCCACCAAGTGTCGTTACCTATATACAGTAAGAGTGATTTTCGGGATCGGAATACGTATCCTGTAATAAGGAATGCAGTTACAGAAACTTTGTTGGGCATACCTCAATTGACCACTTTCCGGGAAACATGTGGGAAAGTGCGTCATTAATGACAACAGGTATCAATTGGTTCCATTTTTTGCAGATACAGCGTAATCTAAAAAGGTCGCGAAAGTTGCTGAATATTGGTTGGAAGAAATTCAAGAATAGTGACGCATTGTGGTTTTAGTGTAAAGGGATCTCCAAAAAAAGAGAGAAAGAAATAACACCAATAACATCTTACCGCATATCTCGGAGAAAGATTTCAAAAATAATAATCCAAATCTCATTAGGAAAATCAATTTTCAAACCTCCTTTATTCTCACTCTCAAACATCCTATCACGTAGGGAACGCGCGAAGCGTATGAAATAGGAACCTTCACCAGGGGCAATTCGGACGTCATTTTGGCGATTCGGTTTTCGAGGTTTCATCGGTTCACAAATAATGTTTATTATATGATACTATAAGACGCAAGAGGTTGCGTTCGAATGTTTATTACAGCTACGTATTAATATGCGCGAAAACCGAAAACTGTTACGCAGATCTCGAAGCATGTGTATCAATTACATATTTGAACGGGCTGAGTTCTCCTGCATTCTTTATATAAAATGTGTGTAGAGTATATTATGTACACTCAATTCTATAGAAATCAACTCGGAGGATACTGCCATTCGAGTACAATAACAATTATTGTCTCAAAATCTCAAAAAAAATTTTTTTTACTTGCCATCGATCGGTGACGTCTTATCCTAATGGCATTGTGAAAGAACTACTGCTAAGCACTTCATGTCAGCCACATACTGCGATTTGGAGTATGGTTCCATTACATCAGCTATAAGTCATCGCCGTACAAAGTTTGGAGGAATGAATAAACGAGTGATGCATTGCATAAGATGTTTCTTATAACCATTTATAGTGCACAATCGTCCCGATTGTAAAACAACCGATTCGGTCGTCTAATTCCTTATTTCTTTGTATTCCACTTCGACGATTGATTTTTCATTCACTTTTTTCGCAAGAGAAGTTTTATTGTTTTTTAAAATTTTGAGGCGTTTTCGAGTCCGTTGATGATAAAGCTGCAAAAAATAATATATCCATCACTCATCGGCATTTCGGGTAATATAAGGTACGAGGGAATTCACCAGACTGATAAAATTTCTCATATACATTAAAATCTGATTTTCATGGATGAAATTTTATAATATTCATTGCAGGTATTCGTATAATTCCACTAAGTCTTTTCTAATTTGGGATTACTCGCTGTCTCCTTGTCGTTGGCCGACGGAATCGGAGGCAAGGGAATGTCACCTAAATCATCCTGTTTAACTGCAAGGAATGAATATGAATCTTACGATCAATTGGAAGGTGTCAAGGAAAGAAAACATCATCGCTCATCTTGCAAACTGTGCGATCATAAATGCGAACGTATGAGGAAGGATACACACGGCACCGACAAATCCCAGCAACAGTAATCCAGTTAATGAGTTGCGAACCAGGAATGCCCTTCTTGCACGTTGAAGTGCTGGTGTGAATCCATGACCTTTGGATGCGTGGTACTTTGATGGAGGTAAAATCATACCTGATCATATTGTTATAGTTTTAGTTATGCATTCACGCATTATCCACATTAAATAATGTTTTCGCGTCTTCCTAGGGATGTAATGTTTACCTGAATTTCGACGGTAATAAAAAAAAAAAAAATAGTGCTGTTGAAAAAGAAAGATGTGCGTGCGTGCGTGTGTGCGTACGGTATCACTGTAGTACGTTAAGTGTTGATAATCAGTGATAAGGCACTCGAGGTTACAAAAGTCACGAGAAATATGATCGAGCATAAATCGTACATCTTGAATGAAAATGTTGCCCCTGTGATACAATTGACTTTCTACTCCTCGTCTACCATGTCTACGCCTATTAAACTATCGAGTCGAGCTGACTGCGAGAGCTTTCTTGAAAAGTTTGATACTCTTTTGCTCGATTGCGACGGTGAGCAACCAAGATAATGGAATTTCCTCATTTGTAAAAGTGCGAATGCATTTAATCGATTCTTCCCCTTTCGAAGGCGTATTGTGGCACGAGGATACTGTTCTTCCAGGGATCAAGGAGGCTCTGTCATTGTTGAGGCAGAAAGGTATGTGATATGAGGGATCGCATGACATGATCCATTTAGGTACTTACTCCAATATACATTTCTAAATTAGGAAAGAGACTTATATTTGTTACAAATAATAGTACAAAATCTCGTGCTGCCTATTTCGCAAAATTCAAGAGGCTGAACATCGATGCGAACGAGGTATTCATGTCGCCTTGCTTATTATTAAGAAAAAGCGGTGTCGTGAACAATTTCTTGTCGATAATTCCCTAGAGCGAAATATTCGGTTCATCTTACGTGTCGGCCTATTATCTCAAGAATATACTCAACTTCCCTAAGGACAAGAAAGTTTATGTTATCGGTGAGTCCGGAATCACCGAGGAATTGCACCTTGCAGGAATCCGCTTCTGCGGATCTAGTGTAATAAAATTTTCAACAATTGGTAATTCGACCTATGAGAATGAATGATTGACGGTAAAAACAATTGGTACCATATTTTTTTAGGATGATGACGATTATGAATTTAATTTCAATAAAATCGATTTTGATCCCGAGGTATTTACGATCCATTCCGGGAGATGTACAGTATGTATATTGGCAATCTCCTTTACTGATCTGATGATTCATCGCTGATTTATTAAGGTTGGAGCAGTTGTTTGTGGCTTCGACACGCATTTGAACTACAAGAAACTAGCAAAGGCCTTCCGATATTTGAATACCAATCCGGATTGCATTTTCCTGCTGACCAACGGCGATACAACATATCCCGCCAATGGGACGATCTATCCAGGTAATCGCTCTTTCAATCTATTTCACCGTTTCATTTCTTCTTTCTTCAATTCATCCCATTCTTATACAACCTTGAGCATAAATGTAGGTACGGGGTCCTTGGTAGCACCTTTGATTAAAGCATTAAATAGAGATCCCGACTATGTGATGGGCAAACCAAATAAGCCAATGTTGGATTGTATCATCAAAAAGTTTCACCTGGATGCCGAACGCACTTGTATGATCGGTGATCGTTTGGACACGGACATTCAATTTGGAATCAACGGGAAATTTAAGACATTATTGGTGTTAACAGGTAACCTGTTGACTGTTTTTTAGTCTCGGTGGTTTTTCCTTCTCTTTTCTTAAAAGAGAATGCCATAAGGAAGCATCGAAGTTACTTGGGATATTATTCATTATTTACTCCATTATATATATTTCTCAGGAGTATCAAAGGAGCAAGAGATTCTGGTTGAAAATGCCCCAATTATCCCTGACTATTATCTCACAAGTTTGGGGGACCTTGCTGAACTTTGCGAATAAGAAATGCGTCGATCTGTCAAATCAATGTCAAACGTTTATTTATTTATCAATCTATTGATTAGATATTTTATCTTGCTGATAAATGTTCTGTTAATGGGCGGGTGAAGGTGAAGGTTGATAGAAAGTTGTGAATCAAGAATCTAACATGGAATCTCAGTTTACATGCCAGGAGTAATATTTATTAGTTAGCAATTAGATTGCAATTGCGGTATATTTACAGGAGAATATGGTGCGCATGAGAAAATCCCAGACAATTAATTGATGGAAAGAAAAGACTTGACCGCAAAAAGTGTTGTGATTTCTAATAAGTGCAATTTTTGCGATGTTGGCGTTGATTCTTGTGAACGAATCAACTTGTCGCTGCTGTCCGCATTTACATAAAAAATGACATGCATCTCTAAAAGCGACATTTGTGGTTCGCCTCACATGTCTAACCTAAAGAATCATGGGTATTGGTGTCGGCCGTATAATAACTGTTGACAAAAAAAAAAAAAGACGTGGACGATTAGTAGTGATTCATGGTTTCCTTATTGGACTGGACACACAGAGGCTCACATATAATCGGGGAACCAATGCCTCCATCTCCTTTGCTGAGGTAGCAGATAAAAAAGTTCGATCTTGGTCAAAATCTTTTTTTTTTTTTTTTTTTTTTTTTTTTTTTTGGTTGAAAAGATGAAAGTTAACCAATGCCAATCACGATACTTGATCGATCTTTAAAAATTTACCTCAACGCTGTGGGAAACAAATGAATCCCGTTCTTTCATATTGCGCACTTCATCATTCAGTAATCTGACCAAAAGGCTCGTGAGATAAATAATTGTGAAAACGACAAGGAAACCGAATAAAATTGATATAATCCAATTATTTTGAAGGCTCCGTGATGTCGAATTCTCGTCCCCTAAATGATAACGTATCCGGGTCAAAAACAATTTACAGCTTTCCATTTACTCGGAATCATAACACACCTTCAATTATCGCAAATAACGCGTGGTAATACGTAAAGAAGAACAATATCAAAACTATGCTGAACATTGCAAAACTTCTTGCTACCCCGAACAGTATTCCAAAGTGACCGCTGAAATACCTGAAAGCTCTGAAAAATAGTAAAAATTTGATGTCTAATAGAAAATTAGAAATTACTGGCGCCCACAAAGGTGTCGATCCATTCTCAAGCAACGAGATTGCTGTCGCAATTGGAAAAATGTAAACACATAAATCTAAAGATAATTATTTGTTTCAGGCGGTGATAAGCTTTGGAATTGGGTTTAGGTGGTTTCAAGGATAACGATGATAAAATTACCAAACAAATTCCAAAAAGACACCAGATATCTCCTCCAATCAAATAAGATTTGACGAACTTCAATTGTCAATTGTGAGAGACCCAATAGGATTGAAATCCATAATAGAAATACTTGGTAAGCGGAAAAGTCAAAGTCGGAGGGTTCGGTGGCTACCAAGGTAAACGTCAATAAAAAAACAGTGTAAACACTCCAGATGAAAAGGTAATAATCTTTCCCAAAAGTTCTCCACTTGAAATTCAGAAGAACCTCTCCATTCCAATCCTCGTAGAATTCGGGGTCTCGAAATTTGACAAACTGATTTGATTCGGGTCTCCACACAACTTCCCTGAGAGGATCACATTCCCCCGGGTAAGAAGCGAATTTCGGCAGAGGAATGATAAATTCGGTGGACGGTTTTGCCGTACGAGTTTCCTTGAAGAACACACGATAGATTAAGAGGAACCATCGGTATGGACTGAGGATCAATACCAGGTCGTACCACAACAGGGAAATCCTCGAGGAAAATGACAGCAAGCGCAGATCATTGTCATAGGTGTAGCCATTAAGAAAAGGTTCGGACGACTGTCGTTCGGTTTTCGTCTTGTTGATCGCGGCGATAATCCTGGAAGTGTAATCAGAGTTGAATTTAAAGATCTCCGAAAATGACCTCGTAACCATGCTAAGGCTGTTGATGTTCTGCCGGTTTTCAAAAAAGTGCTGTAAGGACTTATCGACGATATGCTCCACGATCTCATCTTTATTGAGTTTGAGAGAAGCACGTAAAATGGCATGCGAATACGAAGAGAAGGTTGGAATATCGGTCAAGAAAACATTGATCATTTCCTTAAAGGGCTGAATCGTTCTACCGTCTTGGTACTTCATGACAAGGTTTTCTCGTTCCATGATATTTTCAAAATAATCGATCCGATCTGCGAATCCAATCAGATCGTCTGGCGTATTCCAGCTATAGACCATTCGTATGTTGCCTTCCGGGTCGACGGTAAACACCATCGTGAGGGCATGGGTGGAAATGATCAAATCATCATTGGGTAGTATACGAGATGACAGGTGTATGTATAAAAGTAGCTCGTAATCTTCGATCTCGATGATTAAAGGAGAGCCGAAAGGATTCCACGATTGAGTCGTATCATCGAGTTTGAACGCGGATACTATCGGAGGCGCATTTTCAACATCATCGGGTGTACGTATGCTCCATTTGATTCGCTTTCCGATATGCTCTTCATTTCTTGAATCCGGACCGTGCCTTATTTCGGAGACGATGGGCTCTATTTCTTTTATCATGAAGTGGGTGTTGAATCTCAGGTTGCCACTGACCTTCTCCGTGAAAATATCTTCGACTTGCGGCAATCCCTCAACGACACCAATCAACTTATCTCCTTTAACCAACTTTGGATCTAACCCGCGTGAACCCGAGATCGAGTCGAATGGGACTTCCACGGATTCGTCCATCGCATAAGGATTCATTATGAGAAGTCCAATGATGGGTTTAGAGTCGTAGGGATTGTCGTTATCGTTTCCCTTCGTGTCATACCTCGGAACGACAAGCCAATCTTGATGCATCACGCCAAAGTGAATGTCTATGAACTCACCCTTGGAACTATGCGATGACAATTGCATGCCCGTTTTTGTGGAATACATCGTCAACTCGCCATTTTTCCCATCCTTCATCCTGTTGAATGCTATCAACGTGCTGTCGTCGTTGATGTCGACCTTAATTAGATGCCTGTAGTTTCGATCATCAAATTGTTGTTCCAGCACTGCCGTTCTGATATCCCACAACGATAAATAATGACTGTTGTCAACCTGTATCAATTTGCCTTGTGGCGTAATGATTCGCGTCAACGTGGGTTGGCTGTTGACGATAACATGCTCTAACATAAGGAATGTCTCGGAATATCCGTTCACTATGGTATACAAGCAAAGTTCGTATTCATTGTAAGTCACGAAATGACCGTCTTTCAGGAAGTGCCATCCTCCTTTGTGTTCTTGGGTTGGAACGGTGACATGCTGCTTCCTCACGACGTCAAACATTTCGTAAGCTAAAAAGATTACGGTATTTAGTGGTTAAATTTGGTGATGATTAAAAAGAGCTTTTCAAGATCCGAATCTATATTGACCAGTGTCAGGACGTGAATCCACGATCAAAAGTTTTCCATCCGAGATTTCGTGCAATGAAAGGAATTCGAAGTAAAACGAGAGGGCATCGAAAGCAGGGAAGTTTGCCCATTCGTCCAATTCCCTGAATTCAAAGATCTCGGATGGTTTTGGCCTTCTCTCTTCTTCCTCAACGGACCAAATCACAATTCTCATGTCTTCCCTGCTCAGGGTCGCAATGTATTTTATACCAGGCGAACAAATTATCTGTTTTATCTCATGATGATGCGGAGTTTTGCCGTGATTTTTTGACGGACCCGCGTGAACGTCTACAACGATGGTCCCCATTTCACAAACAATTTGGAGGGTCGTGATTTGCTAATGGACTGTGTGCTCTTTAAAGACGAGGAAATCGCAGATTACGCAAACAATTTATTAGACATATTTATGTGAATTCATTTTTTCTTTTTTGTCAAAGTTTTGTTTGTTTTCACAAGCCCCAATCTACTTCAAGGACACGCATTTCACTTCCAAATATTTACGTCAAAAATTTGCGCGAACGAAAGCCATCATTAAACACTGGCACTCTCGCCATTATATACTTGATAAGCCCCGGAGTTTTTTTTTTAATTATTACTCCAAGGATCAAGCAGTTCGTTACTTGTTCTCTTCAAACAAGAGGCAGCCTTTTTTTGTTGTTGTTGTACGGTGGATCCAACAAACACCGGTAACATTAAGATGATTCAAAAAAAAGAATTCCGTGTGATTCAATACCTATCACTCGGGTCAAAGTCACAGTCACACGAAATTTCACATTTAACGCACGGTTTCTTCTGCAAATCTCTTTGATAAAAATGTTCAAACAGGACACCAAGAAAGTTGTTCAAGGCAAGCAGTTCGTCTCCTTTCTCATTTGCCTTAAACAACAAGATTCTGTAGTAAAGTTAATTCCTCGCCCTTCCCTTCACTCCCTTAGTTTCTTTGATGTATAATTCTATTCCTTTTCATATTGCACAAAAGATGTTGCCAACCTGTATAGCTCAATATTCAACCATCCAAAATCTATGGTTGACAAGGAAATAAAATTATTCGTCCAAGAATTCGAGGTAATTTGCAACCAATCAATCGTCTATCTGGCGACGTTTGAGGTTAAAAGCTCGACTAAAAAAAAATTTGTTTTTTTTATCCTCTTCCCTCTTCACTCCGATTAATTAAAAAAGACGAATCGAAACGATCGCGAGCCAGAGAATCTCAAGAGATGCATCGCTTGCGCACAAGATTCACCAGATAAATATGAAGGCGGAATTTCATCGTTAAGCAAAAAGTTGAACGACGTATCTGCAAAACGTGAGTGATCAAAAACCTTGATATCACGCCAGTTTACGTTTTTTTAACGAGAATTTCCTCAAAAAGTGAAAGAATCAAGACCCGTTTTTGAAAATCTGTTGGCAGAGTTAACGGAATTGAAAGAGGTACACACGTTGATCCCCTTTTTATTTCATTAGCGAAAGTCTCTCTCAAAGGATGCACTACTTTTATCATGCAGCGAAGGAAGAACATAGAAGATCCTTATTTCGAAGAGCGTAGAGAATTTTTAAAAGAACAGGATCATGCCAAGAGCAAATTGGACGAAGAGTTTAAGACCAAGGAACAAGAATTAGTGAACACATATCGCTTGATGATGGAAGAGGAGTTAAGGGGCACTTATGACCCTATCGGTGGTCAAAAGTCATAATAATAAGTTATTGATTCAATATGCAAATTCTTGACATCATATTTTGATAGCGTAGGCTTCTAATGTACATGGGAAAAAGTTGTTTAAACAGCTTTGTGACAATTAGTACACACAAGTTTTGATTTCCCTTTGCTGATGAAGGCTTTGAACTCGGTTGAACCGCATTCACATTGAAATTGTTCGGCGTCATCGTCATTTTCATTTACTGATACATCTGCGCTCAAAACGCTCGATGTAAATGAGAAAATGCTCGAAGCGTCGCTCTTTCTTCTCGGTCTCGGTTGTTTATTCTTTACAAATAAATTATTTCCAAGTATTGAGTTGAATGACCTACATTATACGAATATTAGAGGGAATTAAACGAAAATTTGTTTATGCTTTTGAAAGAAGAATACATCGATTATAAATCCTCCTGATACCTTGTGCTTCGAACCGAACGCGAATCAACATCCTGAGAGCTATAATACGCACAATCCTGTCGAAACACTTTTATGCTCCCGGTGCAGTCAGCACTAACAATTATATTACCGTCAGGATAAGTTTGCTTGTCGGGTGAAATGGAAGTATCGTGATTTATGGTTTTTGCAAAAATTGGGTCCCCGCAAAGGCCGATCAACTGTTTTGTGCGCGTGGGTGCAAAGATGGAAACCGTCACGGTGGCTCCGTGAGCTGATGAATCATCAATTTTTTAAGAGAACGCAAAAATGGCAAGAGCATGAAACATCACGAAAATTGACACTTTACCTTCGAAACTTTCGAAACTGCATTTCTCCTTTTTTAGCCAACTGTTTCCAGTAGCACCATGACCAGAGTTCATGCTAGATTGGTCCGTTCTAAATATATATATATGCCTGTCCTCGGAGCCACTTATTATATAACGACCGTCATCACTGATGAAAGAAAATGATGAGGCGCCCATAATTTGTAAACCGGAATCGACTGAACCCTCAAACTCACCTAAACGTGGCCCGAATCTGACTGCAAGTATTTTCGTGCCCTTTGTATTTACACTCCAAGGACTTGTCGCGCATGTTGTACAACCGGATCCTCGAGTCATTCGAACTTATCAAAAGCTATTTATTTGAAAATTTATTTTTCACGAAGAAATTTGTAAAAATGAACTAAATAATTAAACGAAATCAGCGCAACAGTTTGCTCAAAAAATAAAAGAAGCGAAGAAAATCTTAATCTACTTTGTCATGGCCGGGAAGAGTTCCCGGCATCGCCTCAATCCCTGTGATTTTTTTTCCTGACGCGTTTCGCCCTCGAGTACTTCGCACGTGAATTTGTGTGTTATATTTCAACCCTACTGTCTCGTAAAATTGACATAACCCGGAAAAGCTTCCTGCCACCGCCATTTTCCCGTCAAGGGTAAAGCCAACGGCAGTTATCAGATGTTGATCGGCAGTTTCATTCCAATGGGCGACTCTCTTGTCCGGTATATTCCACAAACGTAGTTTACAATCCAACGAACCCGACAGGAAGAAACGATCGTCCTGCAATATTTAGATTGCCGGTTAGACCAAACCGACGTCGTTTTGTAATTTGAGTGAAATCTCCTACCTTTGGATGAAATGCAATTGCCGTCACAAAGTCTGAATGTTGAAAGCAGCACAAGCACTCTTTCCTCGTGATATGCCACAATCTGTTGACAAGTTATCATCGTTATCATTAGGATCAGATATTTGGGATAATTTGACGAAAGATCCATCAGTAACATTACCTCACGGTTTTGTCCATGGAAGAGGAAAGCAAGAAGTTGTTCTGTATAAAGAAAAAAGAGTTGCCTATTATATCATTATTGCGAGAATAATTCTGTGTCATTCAATCAACAACCAGACTACCTTGCTCCAACTCAAGTCTAGCACATCAGCCGTATGACCGTAATACTCATATAGAGGCTTGTCACGGAATACCGGTGCCCTTAACTTGGCTCCGCTGGTCATCTCGTATACGCTAGTTCCATTTCCTTCAAGAAAGTGTTCTCGCTCTTCATCGCTCGAGATCACTGCCCAAACTCGGACGACCGTATCCTGACCTCCTGTCGCCAAGAATTTTCCATCTTTACTGAATTTCATGGTCCAGATGGCACTGTTGTCTAAATTCGCTTCACCATGTTCATTCGAAATTGGGTTGTTTAGCTCCTGAGCTAAAAATAGTTTGTCAAACTCTTTCACCTTTTTATGCCTCGTGCGCGTCTACACGATGCAAGTTATTTAATAATGGGTAGAAGGACATACAGAACACAGGTGAACATAATAACAATCACTTTTATGTAGTGTGGTTGAGCACTTTCGTGACCGCCAAGGTTTTCCGAGAATACCGGTGCATTATTTCCGGTAACGCCAGGCTCGTCCCCCTCACCATCGTCCTCTTCCTTTTCGTGACGTGACGATCGCTTCTTCAAACGTTTCAAAAGCGATTTGGGGTTTCTAAAAATGATGAATGGGAGTTTTTTATTTTTTTTATTCTATTTTCTGCTTCATATATTTCTTCATTTTTTTTTTTCCGAGGGAAAAGCGCAAAATCGTATCGTATCAACAAATCATTACTCGAGACGCCACTCCATACCTATTGGATCTTTCGTCCTCATCACTATGACTCTTGTCATCATGAATATCACTGTTCCTCCTCATTATCGCGAAAGATAATGGATCGATGCCTCCATTGGATTTTCTTATTTCCTCTTCCAGATCAGATGCGGGGATTTTTTTGCCGGTGTCTAGATCCTTGACGTATACTGTGATGTCGACAGGTTCATCTTCGACTCCTGGATCAATCAAAAATTGAATGATATTATTTGATTGATAATTGATTACAGAAGATTCATCTTCAACACGCGTACCTTCCAGGTTGTCCGTGCTTTTTGCTTTGTCCTCAGGGTCATTCGGAGAACTGAAATCGCTCTCGACAATTCCTCGAGATTTCACCTCCCTGACATTTTTATTTTCGGACATATCGGTTACCGAAATTTCTGGAATGGCAACGGGCGGGCTCTTACTCGGGGGCGTGGAATCCGAATGAACATTGTTGGATTCATGCGCGGAAGGGAATTCAGCGGGCGAAGATGATGGAACGGCGATCGAATGTGGAGTTGAGGTCATGTGTGATTTCTTCCCCCCTTCGTTGCCGTCGCCGTTGTCATCAAAATTCTCTTCGGCGTCGACAAAAGCTTCAGAGGTGCTTTCATCATCGGATTGATCGGAGTTCATGTTTCTAAGAGATGTTGATGGTTAAAATGAGGTGAAACGTGAGTATCTTTAAATACCATAATAGCAATATCCGGATAAGGCTCAGGTTGTTAATTAACCAAACAAAGTATAGCTTGAACTATCGGTTTCATATTACGCATGTGAAACGACGTCGAGCTTACTTAAAAAAAAGGAACGAAAAGGAATGGTTATGTTGCAACGAGGAATTCCAGCTTATCACTTACTGATATTTTCTTGTAGGGGATTACACCGCGATGATGAAATTGAAAATCAAAAGGCATCTTTAGCTGACCCAACTGATCAACACATTTAATGTCTAAAAGGTTGATGATGTTTGTGTGATTGATCAGCATTGGAGTGGCTGCTGACCATTGTGCCATTGTAACATCCGGTGGTTCAGCATTCCAAATTAGGTACACCCGAAAATCACATCGGTATATATATGGTGGCTTTCGCTCAATTAGCTCAGATCCTTTTGTGCGGGAATTCCGTAAAGTGTTTTCGTAACATCCCAATTCTTTGACGTCATCTCCATCTCACAATGGAATTCTTTCATAACCTGTCTAACGATTTTGACCTGCTCTTGGACGAGAGTGACGACTACGATGTGATAATTTACGCCGGAAAGGAACCGAACGTGAAAAAGTTTTATGCGCACACGGTAATCTTACGTGCGAGATCTCCCTACTTCCGGAGGGCATTATCACGGGATTGGGCAAAGAGAGAGAATGGATCGATAGTCTTTCAAAAACCGAACATTACGAGGGAGGTATTTAGCATAATTCTGAAGTAAGTAACATTTTCGAGCACTCCTCGAGATAACAAACCAGACGATCAGGTGCACCCCAGAGTATTCAGCGCTAAAAATTGAAACGTTTAGGTACATCTACACTGGCACCACGGATCTACAATCCCTCGATGGCCGGACGGTGCTCAACCTCTTGACGGCGTCGGACGAGTTAAATCTTCAGGAACTCATCGCTTACTCACAAGACCACCTCATTCAGGAGAAATCCGAGTGGTTGCAAGAGAATTTGATCCAAGCATTGCAAATTATTGCGAACCTCGAGGCCTGCAAGGATCTCCAGGATTTTTGTTTGGGGATGATCTGCCAAGACCCTTATTGGCTTTTTGATTCGGAACACTTTTATACTTTGGAAGAGTCAATCTTCGTCGCTCTCTTGAAGAGAGACGACCTCTTGATGGAAGAAATAGAAATCTGGAATCACCTGATCATGTGGGGAATTGCACAGAATCCGCATATAGACCGTGACGTCGACAGCTGGACATTGGAAGACCATGAATCTTTGAGGTGCACGGTTGAGCAATGCATCCCTTTGATTCGATACTTTCACATAGATTCGGCTGATTATTATGACAAGGTGAGACCTTTCGACCGAATCTTTCCGGACGATTTACGCGAGGACATCTTGCAGTATTACCTCAAGAAAGGTAGCGTTGGTCAGGTTAATTCGGTGATCTTACCACCGAGAATGCGGGGAATCGAATCAAACATTTTGAAATTCCGACACGCCGCCATCATATCCAAATGGATCGGTCGAAAAGAGGAGAGCCCGACTAACGCTCAAAGATCAAAATACATTTTTAACTTGCTGCTGCGTGGTAGCAGGGATGGCTTCTCCGCTCAAGATTTTCATCGATTGTGTGACAACCGAGGACCCACCATTGTGGTCATGAAAGTGAAGGAATCGGGTGAGATCATTGGAGGGTACAATCCACTCAGCTGGCGAAAGTACAGACCCCTTTCATCAGAGAGTTGGATTGCGGCAGCGGCAAATCGCCAGATGACGTCCACCCTCGTAGGCTTCACCAGGCCGTCGTATGATGTCGGACCGTACCAGACTAGTCTCGATAGTTTTCTGTTCTCATTTGCGGATGGCAAGAATGCGAAAGATGGTAAGCTCAGTCGTATCATTCAAGAGAAATCATCGTTCGCCGTATTTTCGTCGTCGCAACACGGACCTTGCTTTGGGCAAACGGATTTGAGAATGAATGATAATTTCAACGCTCCTTCGAAATGTACGTGCCAATGTTCCACCTATGAGGCAGAGATTAGCGAACTTCAGAATTTTTCGGTTGAAGAGTATGAAGTTTTTCAAGTTGTCGATAGGGATGCGCCGGCTTCACCGAACCAAGAGGATTCAATGCCTCCCCAAAGATCCGAGGTCACCAACTATTCAACTGCTTGGTAAGAATTCGTTTTGCTCACAATGTCGACACCACGTTCCTCTTTCTCACCCACCATTTTCTTCTCATATGCCAATAGGGGGGAATTTATACACTTTTGAGAATTGGGCAATTCCAAATCTCCTTTTCTCGAATATCCTTGCGTCACGGCAGGAGGAAAAATTTAACAATGCTTGTATATAATGTAATATAGGAATTAAAATTAAAATCGTGGTATGGTGTTTATCCCTCTCATCGCCTAAAGAGAACACGGTGTCTTATATTGTCAATCAAGGATCTACGGGGTCAACGTTTCTTGTCACGCTTATCGTCAGTATTGTTTAGCTTAAATTTATAATTTTCAGATTCGGAAAACCCGAAATGCGGGTCCGAATTTGTGGAATGGCAACCTTGATACGCGACGAAACTTGCCACATATGCTATCGTTTAATGGAAAGAGCGTTTATATAATTGGAACTCTTTGAAATTTGACGTACGTGCAATTTAAGATACGACGACCTTGTTAAACTGTTTATGGACGATCAATCAAAAATGGAGAATTCAGAGCTTTACATTTTTGGTTCGTTGCGTTGTGGAAGGGATATGACATTTAAAATTCACAACTCTAAATAGGTTTATTTAAAATAGGCGATCACATAGACTCCAATAAATTACTGTTTTTCAACTCCCAACATCGAATTTTATCGAATTCACTGAAGAAGATGTTTTCATTCATTTTCCAATAAACCACCCTAAAACTTTCCTTTTGCACCTCAACCAAAATGCTACCATCACCATTATCTTGGATTTTTTGAAAGCCCCTCTTTCTCATATTCAACTCGGCATTTTTCACCTTGAACAGCTTTCTATTCATGCACAAAACGAAATTTATTTCGTTGCCCTCGTAGAGCACCGAGCCATCCGAGTTCTCGAATTGCAAGAGAAATTGCTTCAGCTTGTCAAAGTAAAATATTTTCTTGACATTGAATCTCGGTTTTAAAAAATCATTCCATCCAATCTACGTAAAAAATTGCAAGGCATTTGTTGAGAGTAAGGGTATGTTAATTGAAAGGAAATCTTCGTGAACCAAGAATGCATAGAATGCCAAGCATTATTAAATTTCAATTTTATTTTATCTTATTTTATTTTTACCCATAAGGACCAATTAGAGTGATAGTGGATAAGCTCGTCTCTAATAACCACCGGAATTAATGTTTTCCATAATCTACACGTCCTTTGCAACCTGATTATGCTGTGAAGACTTTGGCGATGTCAAAAAAAAAAGAAAAAGAAAAAATAAAATTGAGAAAAGAGTAGTGGACAGAGAAAAAAAGAAAAGAAAAGAAAAGAATAAGAAAAGAGCATCGAATATTCATTCACACCTGGAAATTTGGAACAATTCGTGAAAAATCTTGAGGATTAACTCGTTAGGAAAATTATTGACCATGTTCATGCACTATGTTTCAGCACGTATTATGCGGCGATGAAAGGTTGCACACCACCGAGTGGAAAGGAAGAAATTTTAATTCGTGCCAAGGGGAGGGGGGTTTAAGAAATTCAATTATCAATCAGAAGCTTTTGCGACGAGTTCTCATTTTATTTTTTTTTTTTTACGAATAAGGGCCCGCTAGGACATATCAAGTTCAATGCGTGGTTGCATGCGTACGCACTTACATACGCACTAAAAAATTGCTGCATTCAGAAATTACGCATACGGACACTCATGATGACGGATTTACCAAAATGTTTATCGTTAAAGGTGTCATTTAAAAAGAGACATGACCGTTTTGTTTTCAATGAAACACTGCATAACGTCAACTGTTTGCCGGCGGATTGAATTTGTGAAACTAATTATGACCGGTCAACCAATTGGCAGAAGCTCCGTCCTCGAGACAAATCTGCAGAAACGTAACTTACAGTATTAAAGTCATTTTAAATGAATCCGGGGCACTTTAAAAAAGGGTCTTTTTACGTTAATTTTTACGGCTCACCGGTTGCATCAAGGGGTGGAGATGACGTGATATTGGTATATAGGAGTCACGATGAGTGGAAGGGGTAATGAACATGACAAGGAGAAGGGGGAGAGAAATTGTTTACGCGACATAACATCATTCTTTAACAACTAAATCATCACGTACTACCGTATAGTGTGCGCACGACGTGTATTTATTAATAAAGAGTTGACGTATTTGTAAAACATCTTAAAAAAAAAAAAAAAAAAAAAAAAAAACAAGGCATCCAATCGCTTCACGAATGTGACTGATTGCCGTGAGAAATTGCCATATTTAACACATGTTACGTCCATTTTCTCCTTTGATCTTGACCTATTTTTTTCTTTACGTAATGTTTCCTGGAAGCAACGACCTTTTGTCATTTTGCTCAAGGTAGAATTCTAAATTTCGAATTTTATTTTCTTATTGGATTCCAGTTTTCGAGACACTGTCGAATACCTTTTCAGGTCAGACTTTGGCGTACTTAGTAATGAAATTTGCGTTTCTTCCTTTGCTCTGGTTTGTATTTTGAATTTGCGAGAAAATTCAGTGGACACGTCTTAAGATCAACAATCGTTAAATCTCCTTCCTTTTCCACCTAGAATTGCAATCATTTTTATCATGATGATGACAATGTGGTTACCTTCCTTCCTTCCTTCCCCCTCGCTCCCTCCCTTCTAAGCTCGAAAACTCCGATCCGGGAACAAACTGGGCGCCATCAATAAACTTCCCAACGAGCTACTAATCGAAATTCTTGTTAAGACACTTGAGGAATCAAGGTTGGCATTCAAATTGATTGAATTGATGTTATCAGGATCTTTGAATGACGAGTTGCGAAATTTTTCATTTTAAAATGAATAAATAAGCTTTAGGGAAATTCTTGGACTGCGTAGAACATGCAAAAAATGGAACAGATTGATCCCGACTGTTATCAAAGACGAACTCTCCCGAAATTATCGGCATAGCTGGAATTTCGTGGTATAATGATTTCCACCCTAATTTTCTTTGAAATTGATTTGTCTAAAATTTTATTGCACAGATGGTTTTGCTTCCATTCAGGTCTATTTTCATGATTTTCCAACAATATTTAGAGAGCAAACCTTTGCTCTCGGAATTCCCAGCTACAAGCGTAGGAGCAAAACCTTCTGCTTTGACATCAGTGAGATAGGCTCAATTAACTTTAATAGGAAATCGAATATCATCGTCTACCTGAAATTTTCGGGGAGAGAGTTTCAGAGTTCGTGTATCTTCAAGATTGACCTAAAGATTCCTGGAAAACGGGAACATCGGTTTAACAATGACCGTCTGCGTTTTGAAGTGGAAGAAAGGGATGTTGTGAAGTTCACTTCTTGGAGTATTAGAGCTGAAAAGATATTTCGGTTACTAAACGTTCATAATTAATTCTCATCATCCCGTTTCTCTTTTGATCCGGTGTGATTGTTATTTTCATTGTATCATTGCATTGCATGTTACCCATAGAATTTGTAAACTTTATTGAGCATATACTGTATCCCGATTTCAAAATAAAAGGGATTCCAATAACAGATTGGTATCCCTGACGCGAATAGAGATGGTTTCGGGGCCTGTCCAAGGCCGAACCGATCGTGGTGTTGTCCCTCGATATTATTACTTTGTGATGCAGGGAGTTCTTTATCGAGGATAAATCATTTTTCAAAAAGTAAAGATGAATTGCCATATTTATCAATTCTCATTATCATATCAATGAAATGAATATAATGCTGGTGATAGTTAAGATATAAATGTATCTATAGTACCAAATTTTTTTAACCCCCCAAAAAAGATCAACTATATGCATTTACTAAGAATTGATTAATCAATGTCTTTGGACTATTTCTATAGAAGACATACGTATATTTTAATAAAATAAAGATGAAAAGGAAATAAATAAGTACAATTTATATAGATATCATAGATTTCGATTTTTTTTTTTTTTTTTTTTTTTTTTTTATGCTAAAATTCTTATATCAATTACAAGAAATTTTTGAATTTATATGAATTACTTTTTTATATCATCATTTATTTATAGTATTTAAAAAAAATATAAAAATATACCAATGCAAAAAATTTTTATCTGCAACCATGCCATCATGATAAACATTTACAATAGATCAATAATCATTTTGAGATAATTAATAATATAATTTATACAGATATTGTAATAAAAATTATATTTAAAACCAACTAAAGTCATTTTTAATATTATGGCATCCTCTTTTAGATAATTAAAAAAGTAGATATAAAGTTGCTTCCAAAGTTTGAGTCCACTTACCATTTTTATATAAATTTCAACTTTGACAATTTTTAAATCCTTAATTATACAACCAAAAATTATAAAATTCATATACAATATATTATATCTTAATACTAGTTTTATTTATTATATTTTTTTCAAAAATTTTTTATATGTAATTTTTAAAGTTTTA